TTCTTAATCTTCTTCTTCACATGTGATCATGGCTCTCCATAACTTTGTATCCTTTGTAACTCTTTTTTTTTGCTTTCTTTTAGTTTTTAATTTAATCTTTAAAATGCAAGTAGCCTTTCAACTCAGCCAGACCAAATATCTTTCATGATGATATTCAAAATGTGATGTTATGGATCTTGATATGGCTTCTTGGCTTCAGTCACTTTCCCACTTTCTTTCTTTTTAATCAGTTCACCCAAAGCAAGAGAATAAAGCCACTAAGATGCACAGGGTTAGTGAAAATATGAGAAAGAAAAATGTTATTCAGGAGAAAGAACAGGAATTAAGAAAATAGAATGACATGGCATTTAAATTTTTCAAGATCAAAGTTGACTGGGAAGCAAGAAGCCAGAAGAGAGTTCTACAAGTGATAGAAGAAATAGTTAGCATTGAACTTACAGTTACATCTCATCATTTTAACTATAAAATGGTTGGTTGATTTTGTCAAGCAGTATATCAACCTCTATGGGTTATATAATGCCGAAATCTAAATATTTTGAACACAATTATATGGCTTCAACTAAATATGTTTTGAACACAATTGTATGCCTTCAACTACACATAAAATGTACTGTTGATTATTTTGCTTTAATATGTATTGCTGGTCATTTGGCTTTAAAATTGTATTGTTGGTAATTTTACTATAAATATGTATTGTTGGTAATTATTTTTATATAAAAATGTATTGCTGGTATTTTTACTATAAGAATGGATTCTTATATTTTTATAGTGTTTTATTTCTGTTTGGGGATTCACTATTTGCCCATAGCTAGGACCCTAACAGGTGCTACCACCCCAGGTCATGATGGACCTAGGAACAGCAACAATTAAGAGGTGGTCCCACACTCTGCAAAACTTCCAATCTCCCAATCAGAGGCCTTACTGCCAGATGTAGTTTATCGTCATACTCAGGTCTATCAACTAAAAAATGATGAGACCTTACTGCCAATCTAGTCTTCTTTTTCATGCATCCTGTCCCTTTGGGATGTAGGTAATCAGATCTTTCCACAATTTCCTGTCACTTGTAGCTTTTAATAAATTTTATCTTTTTATTTCTCCTATCTCTTGATCCGCCATTCATTTACTCAAGCTCTATACATAGGTTATACAATGTCTTCCTCTGTGCCTCTTGCCTTCAAACTGTCCTGTGAGTATCAAATTTTTAAACCTTCTTTCCTCACTATGCACCCTAGAAATGTCAACTCTCTCTTGCTGATGTTAAGTATAAGTGTCCTTTTTGTTTTCATTTTCTCTAAAACTTTATTGTTGCTCACATGTTCAGGCCATATTCTCAGCATACTTCTACAGAACCACATTTCTGTTGATTCAAGTCTCTTCTTCATCTGTGAGGAGATTGACCAGCAAACACTGCCATATAAGAGGATTGAGATTAGTTGTGCTTAAATTCATAAAGTCTTGGTACCATAAAGGAAAGTTCATCAGAATCTTAGTAAGATTTGTCTTTTCACTATCCTCCCTAGTTCTTGTTTTGATGCCCACTTACGCAAGCTCATTAGCTTGGTTACTCACTGCTTTCCTTTACTCGTCTTGCCTTCAATATGCCCTGTGAGTGTCAAATTCTGCAAGCCCCCTTTCCTCATTAATTCAAGAAATTTCAACAATCTCTTTCTGTATTATTTACACTTTTTTTTTTAACTTTTCACCCCAAGCAAGACAAGAGTGCCACTAGCACACAAAAAAAGAAAAGTGGTAGCAAGCGTGAGTGAGAGAGCAAAGGATGAAGAGAAGGACGTGGAATAGATCAAGGCATGTGGAGATATCGATTGACATTGTATTTGAATAGTTGGAGATTATAGCTATCAGGGAAGCAAGTAAGAGGAAGGGAGTTCCACAGATGGGAAGTGCAAGACATGAAGCTATTGGAGTAGAAGAGACAACTACATTTAACCGTTTCGACAGTGAAGGGGTGGGAGCAAGATGCTGACCTAGTGGCATGTTTAAATTCATGTAGTTTAGGAACTATTGAAAATAGCTCGTTGGAGCAGTTACCATGAAAGTATTTGTAGAAAAGAAAATCTTTGTTGTTATCATAACATTTCGGCTGTTGGGACTTTATCAGGAGTAGATCAATCTGGTTAACCTACATGGAATTTATAACTGAGCCCTTTATTTAATCTACAGGGATAGGCAGTTCTTGATATACTGTCCATGTCCAGAGATATCTTCTCTTGTACTTTTTAGTCTCTAGACATGAACAGTGGAACAAGAACAACACAGAATTCGAACAAAAAAATTGCTTTCTGATTCTAAATATAAACATGTGTTTGTTTCCATTTTCCAGAAAATTCCTTATTGTTCAGTCCGTGATATTCTTAGCATCCTTCGGTAGAATCACACATCTGTTTCCTCAAGTTATTTCTTCATCTGCGATGAGATTGTCTCGCATTTACTGCCATATAGCAAGACTAATTTTCTTAATCAAAAACTTTAGAATTAATTTCATGTTGACAGTTATTATTCCATTCCAAGCACAGACATTGCTAAATGAACATCCATATATCTGGGTATAAAATCGGCAAAGTTAGACTATACACCCTCCCAAGTTAGAATTATTGTCAATGACCTTCTTGATATCATCATGGTATCTCTACCGATGACACAACTATTTAATCCTGTCTTTATAGTAAGTCTGATCAGTTCGATAGAATCAAATTGGCAGCTGATCTCAAAAATTTGTTGTTAATGGGGGCAAGGAATGACTTGTTTATTGTAATTCCTCCAAAATGATATTGCTATCTTTTAAACATCTGACAGAATCCTTTCTGACTTCCATCAGCATGGCTGATGCTAACCCCAAGGAGAGTAATTCATTGTGTCTTCTCAGACTGACATTTTCCATTGACATGAAGGGGGATGATTATATAGATGATATTGAATCAGTTGTTAGGTCTCCTACTAGAAAAGTTTGTTCACTGTGCTGTGCTAGACAATCTTTCTTGCCAAAATCTATCTGACATATTTGTAAATCTACCATTCATTCATGCACTGAATATTGCTGCCACATCTGGTTTGGTGCTTCTGCTACATATTTAGAGATTCTTGATAAAAGCCAAAGAAGAATCTGCAATGTTATTGGTCCTGACCTGATACCTTGGCTTCAGTCCCTTTTCCACTGCCATAACATAGCTTCCCTGTGCTTTTTCTATAAATACTTTCATGATAATTGTTCTGATGAACTTTGTTTTATGGTATCGAGACTTTATGAATGCAAGCGTAGTGCTAGATAGCTGGCAAAATCTAATTGTTTTGCAGTTGAAATGGCGAGATATAACCATAAGTTCTATGCTAACAGTTTCTTCTCTTAGACTTTTCACTTGTGAAATTCTCTTCTGGCTTCTTGCTTTCCAGTCAACTTTGATCTTCAAAATTGTAAATGTAATGCCAATCATTATCTTCTGTTTTCTTAATTCCTGTTCTTTTATTGTTTTCTCTGCTTGAGTGTTTTTTTTCTCATATTCTCTCACACACATTAACCCTTGAATCTTAAAGGGTTTATTGCCTTACTTGGGATAAAATGACTAAAAAAAAGAATATACCCACTCCTTTTCCCATGTAATGAGAGATATTATTGTATACACAAATGATATTCAAGAATACAATGGAACATGTATTCATATGTTTGCTGAGACTTCTTGCATGTATTCTACTGCACCCAGTTTTATTTTGATTTCTTGGTTTGCCCATTAGTAGGTCTAAACTCAGAAAGTCTATTAATTTTGGTCAGCTAATACTTGATTTCATATCAGCTATTATTACCAGTTTGTAGACTGGAGCCATCACATGACAGGTGTTGATATTAATAGTAAAAAGGAATATAAACTAGACTAGCTAATATACATTCTCAACCAAGGGGAAATTCAAGGTTTCAGTGGTGGGGGAGAAAAAATCTTTTGCTTTTTTACAACTTTCTGATTGACTGTAATCTTCATCAGAAGAAATGTTTTAAATACCCTTACTTTTTACTGAACTTTTTGTTTATTAAATTACAATTGACCCTGGCAGTTTATTGAAGTATGCTTTAGTTTATTTTTTTAATAATTACCCTATTTGATGGCATATAAGGTGCACTTTTCTTTACTAAAAATATCTTTTAAAATAGCCCTCCATCTTATATGCCATATGTAGGTTTAAAATTTGTGATAGTTGGATGAAATTAGCTACCTGGAAACTACCATTAGCTTAGTCTTAAACATAAATAGCAATAGAATACATGGATGGCAATACCTGATCACAACCTTACACTTACAAGGAGAATAAAAAGACCCAGTATTACACAAGTCTGTGAATGGGTGAAGCAAGTTTGGGATAATATTAGACAAGAAATTGTTGTGAAATCTTTTAAAAATTCTCTCAATGGAATGGAAGATGACACATTATTTAACGATGATGATAATAGTATTGAAAATGAGTCTCAGAGTTTTGATAATAAAGATGACAAATTTTATAGATTTGAAGATGAATCAAATTTTAGTGGTAACTGTACTGTTTTGCTCAATTGTAATAATTGCTTGATTTTTATTTTTTTTCTTACTTTTGGAAATAATAAAGTTTTTATAGGCTCATGTGCTTTTTTTCCTATTATTTTTCATTTAATAATTGTAATCATGGCTTGTTTAACCAAGATAATACCTCATAAATATAACAGTGGCTGTACCACTTAGTACTAATATTACTAATTACTAATATCTTAGTAGCAACTCTGACAGATTTAAGAAAACCTGGCAACTACACTTGAAAAAGACCTCCAATCAGTGTTTACGAGGGGCAAGAAATGGCTTGTAAATTTTAACACCTCCAAAACAAAACTGCTTTCATTTAATATCCACAGAGAATTTTTTCTATTTATGTGGTGGAGATATACCTCACCAAAGCAAGAGAAGGCTAATTGCCTGTACATATACTTTTAAACATTGTAGATCTGCCAGATGAACTTCGGCAAATCAATATTGAAGTGACACGGCACATGTGTTATCGGCGAGAATGAGGCTAAGACAAGCAAGAAATTTCAGTTTCTTGTCCAAGACAGAGGAAAGATAAAAAGAGCTGACTTTTTGTTTCATAGCAGTTTGTTCTTTGAGACTGGTAAAGGTTATACCCATATTCCAGAGAAAGAGCAATACTGTTGTTTATGTTGTTCCAGTATCCATGTTAGCTGTCAGTGGGAACAGATTCAAGTGGAAATTTATTTTTCCTACCACCCAATTTTCATTTAAATCTCACAGCCTACCATCAAGATGGCTGATGCTGAACTCCAGGAGAGCAACATTCTATGCCTTCTTGGTTTCACATTTTTCCACTGACATGAAGGTTGGTTCACTGTGTTGGGCCAAAACATTTTTCTTGTCAGAATCCATCTTGCACATTTATGAATCTACCATTCATCCATCCATTGAATACTGTTTCCATATCTGGTCTGTGGCTCCTACTGTGCATCACAAGATTCTTGAAAATAATCCAAAGGGGTTTCTGCAATACAACTGATCTTGACCAGGTATCTTGTCTTTAGGTACTTTCACACCAACATGATGTGGTTTCTCTCTGTCTGTGCTACAAATGTTTTCATGGTAATTTTTTTTTTTTTTTTTTTTTAGAAAATCACCCCAACCAAGTCAGGAGTACCACTAGCATGCAAGAGGTTACAGAGAGTGAGAGTAAAAGTAAAGAGGAATGTTTGGGAAAAGGATAAAAAGAAGGACAGGGTTCAAGGTCAAGGTCAACACATCAGAAAATGTCAATTGACATTACATTTGAATACTTGAAAATTATAGCTATCAGGGAAGCAAATGATAGGAAGGGAACTCCACTGATGGGAGGTGCGAGATGAGAAGCTGCTGTTGTAGAAGAGATGGCTACATTTAGTCATTTTGACAGTGAAAGGGTGGGATCAAGATGCCAACCTAGTAGCACACTTAAATTCATGCAGTTTAGGAAACAGTGAAAGTAGCTCATTGCAGCAGTTGCTATGAAAGTACTTGTAGAAAAGACAGGGAGAAGCCACAGCACGTCTGTGAGATAGCGACTGCAAACAGGATGCCAGATCAGGACCAGCCACATTGCATATCTCCAGATTTTGTCTAGGACCTTGAGATGAACAGCAGGAGAACCAGATCATATATGGCAGCAATATTCCATGCAAGGATGAATGGTTGATTTGTAGATTTGAAGGATGGACTCAGGTAAGAAAAACCTTCTGGCATGACACAGAGATCCAACTTTCCTTGCAATAGATGAACCTACAGATTCAATGTAGTTGTTCCACTTCAGGTCAATGGACAGTGTGAGACCAAGCAGGTGCAGAGAGGTGATCTGATGGAGTTGTGCATCAGCTATCCTGATAGAAGACAGGGAGGGTTCTCTATGGTTGGTAACTGAGAACAATTTCATTTTAGAGGCATTAACATTTACAAGCCATTTCCTGCCCCAGTCAACCATAGATTGCTCAGATTAGCATTTTTTTCCTGGTGCCCAGACTACATGAATTTAAGCATGCTACTAGATTGGCAAATAAGTTTTGCCATTTTACTGTTGAACTAGCTAGATGCAAATTCCACTTCTACTCTAGCAGTTTTTCTCAAACTTCCCACCTGAGAAACTCTCTTCCAATTTCTTACTTCCCTGATAACTTCAATCTTTAAAAATTTAAATGTAACGTCAGTCGACATCTTCTGTCTTCTTGGACCTTGTATTCCATTTTTTCTTTCCTTCGTCCTACCCCATATTTGATCATTCTCATTCTTCTTCACTTTCACTCCTTGTAACCCCCCTGAATTCTAGTGGCATTGTCTCTTTGCTTGAGGTGAATGTATGTATACTAAAATAGAAATAAAGGAATATTTTTCAATAAAATATGCATATTATTTAGAATGCACCTTTTGAGTCGGACAATCTTGGAAAGAAGGAAAAAACATCTGGACACCTAGTGAAATGTGTGAATTGGGTAAATAAGGTTGGAAAGAAGGAAATAATATCTGGACACCTAGTGAAATGTATGAATTGGGTAAATAAGGTTGGAAAGAAGGAAATAACATCTGGACACCTAGTGAAATGTATGAATTGGGTAAATAAGGTTGGAAAGAAGGAAATAACATCTGGACACCTAGTGAAATGTATGAATTGGGTAAATAAGGTTGGAAAGAAGGAAATAACATCTGGACACCTAGTGAAATGCATGAATTGGGCAAATAAGGTTGGAAAGAAGGAAATAACATCTGGACACCTAGTGAAATGTATGAATTGGGCAAATAAGGTTGGAAAGAAGGAAATAATATCTGGACACCTAGTGAAATGTATGAATTGGGCAAATAAGGTTGGAAAGAAGGAAATAACATCTGGACACCTAGTGAAATGTATGAATTGGGCAAATAAGGTTGGAAAGAAGGAAATAACATCTGGACACCTAGTGAAATGTATGAATTGGGCAAATAAGGTTGGAAAGAAGGAAATAACATCTGGACACCTAGTGAAATGTATGAATTGGGCAAATAATGTTGGAAAAAAGGAAATAACATCTGGACACCTAGTGAAATGTATGAATTGGGCAAATAAGGTTGGAAAGAAGGAAATAACATCTGGACACCTAGTGAGATGTATGAATTGGGCAAATAAGTTTGGAAAGAAGGAAATAACATCTGGACACCTAGTGAAATGTATGAATTGGGCAAATAAGTTTGGAAAGAAGGAAATAACATCTGGACACCTAGTGAAATGTATGAATTGGGCAAATAAGGTTGGAAAGAAGGAAATAACATCTGGACACCTAGTGAAATGTATGAATTGGGCAAATAAGGTTGGAAAGAAGGAAATAACATCTGGACACCTAGTGAAATGTATGAATTGGGCAAATAAGGTTGGAAAGAAGGAAATAACATCTGGACACCTAGTGAAATGTATGAATTGGGCAAATAAGGTTGGAAAGAAGGAAATAACATCTGGACACCTAGTGAAATGTATGAATTGCGCAAATAAGGTTGGAAAGAAGGAAATAACATCTGGACACCTAGTGAAATGTATGAATTGGGCAAATAAGGTTGGAAAGAAGGAAATAACATCTGGACCCCTAGTGAAATGTGTGAATTGGGTAAATAAGGTTGGAAAGAAGGAAATAACATCTGGACACCTAGTGAAATGTATGAATTGGGCAAATAAGGTTGAGAACCTTGGTCTTATGTACAAAGCTGAGGAATCTGGTAGACTAATCTCTACCAAAACATTGTAAACTACCATTATACCTAGCCTAATTCAAATATCTTCTTTTATGGGCTGTGTAATTATAGCCCTCCACATCCTCCTGTTCTTTGTAACTCTTAATAAGTTTTGTCTTTTTGTTACTTCTCCCAAACACTATCCTACCATCCATTTACTCAAGCTTTCAAACTTTCAGAATCCCCAAGGTGGCATGAGCTGCAATGTGCATCAGTCTGCACAACTGAGAAGATATGATGTGTTTTCTTTCTGCTCGCTCTTGTGTTTTTTGCCACTACAAAAATAATCCATGTAAATGTATACATACTAATAGGAAAAAGAATGAAAATTTTCAATAATATATACATATTATTTGGAATGCACCTTTTGAGTCGGACAATCTTGGAAAGAAGAAAATGACATCTTGACACATAGTGAAATGTGTGAATTGGGCAAATAAGGTTGAGAATCACTGGTTTTGACTATATTTGAAGGTGTGAAGTAGGTGAGCCTCAGTCATATTCTTGGAATTATTTTTGACTAGTCTAAACTATACAACCATGGACAAAATTATGGGGTAGATATAGAAAAGTTAGAAATATGATTGAAACTCATACATATATTAGATTAAAACATTATAATTCATGTTTCACTGGCATTTATAATGATTTGTGTTCATTTTTACTTAATTAGCATAAGTGGCAAAATTATTTATTTGAAATTTAATCTTTAGTGCTAAATCTTTTCTAATTTTTTAGTAACGTGTTCAGTATCAATTTATAAGTGCTTCTTTTTTGTTGAAAATGTCTCCGAAGAAAAACATTCCTGAAACTAAAAGGGCTGAAATCATTGCATTGTTCAAAGAAGGGTTATCCCAGGTCAAAATTGCAAGACAAGTGAAATGCTCAAGAAATGGTGCACAAACAACCATTAAAAGATATAATGAAACCAATTCTTTCAAAAGTCATGATGGTCAAGGCCAGAAAATGTCTACAAACTCAATGGAAGACAGAGCTAAAGAGAGTATTTCTAGGTGATGGAGAAAAAAACCTCTTCTAATGTGACTGTTGAATTTTGAGAGGCAACAAACAACATGATATCAACTCACACAGTGAGAAGTAGGTAAGTAGATGCTTGTCTCAGTGGATGTAAAGTTAGAAAAAAAACCATTGCTGTCTAAGGTTAATAAGAAAAAAAGACTTCCTTTTGCAAAAGAGCATGAAAATTGGATGGCTGAGGATTGAGCCAAAGTTGTCTTATCTGATGAAAGCAACTTTGAAGTAAGTTACTTTATTAGTCAAAACTAATTTATTGAGCATAATTGATTTTATTATGCCTATTAATACTGTATTTTTATTGAATAGAAAATTATCCGTAAAACTTTTATTTTATCAGATTTTTTGAATACCTTGAGTTGTTTATGTTCATCAAAGAATTGGGGAAGCATATGATGCTCAACGTATTGCCCCACCTGTTTGGTTTTTATTATACATTGAGCACCTGTTTTGGTGCTCAATATATTGCCCCACCAAATTTGGAGGTGGGAGCATAATGTTTTCGGGCTGCATTTCGTTTTCTAGGACAGGAATGTTATTCACATGTGTGGGTAGAATGAATTCTAACACTTACACAAGCATGTTAAACTTTCACTGGAGAAAATTTTCAACAATAATATACCAGATGGAGTAATTCTCCAACAAGACAACACACCATGCCACACATCCAAAATTTTGGAGGGTTGGTTTGAAAAGAAAGAATTGAGGGTGGCCTCCTCAATCCCCTGAACTGAATCCCATTGAACACCTGTGACCATGCTTAGGTAGAAGAGGGAGGGTGCACAAATATTCTTCAAAATGTAAATTAGAAGCCAGACTTCATGAAGAATGGCAGAAAATTGCACCAACTACTTGTACTAAGCTGGTTTCCAATATGCAAAAGTGCATAAAGGCAGTTATAAAAGCAAAAGGAGCCCACACCAGGTATTAAATATAGGTTGAACTTACTTTAAAAGCTTTGTTATTTTTCTTTAAATTATAAAATAAATGAATTTCAATTATATTTCTTTTATTTTATACACCTGCCCCATAATTTTGTCCGTGGCTGTATATTCTGGGAAGTGTATTAATCTGGACTACTACAAATGTAATTACTTAACTTCACTTTTAAATCTGAAAAGTTCGAGCTTAAAGATGCTTATTTTAATTAAAACATATTCAAAAATTTTATTTCAATCCAAAATTTCATTTTAATATAAAAATATTCAGCCTGAAAGATTATTATAAATTTACTTATGCTGATGTTAACTATGCTGACTCCTGTGGTTCTACCAAGGATTGAACTCACCATCTTTGGCTAACAAATTTCTAAGATATTAAACTCCTACTCTTTAGCTTCATGGATGTGTTTTAAGCAGTGGCAGTAGCAGGCTTGTCTCCCTTCCTGCCAAAGTGGCTTTAAACTTTAGGCTTTATTTAAGTTTACTGAAATTTCTCCTCATAGTGAATTTTTATATTTTTTGGTGAAGTGCTGTCATTCATTTTATTGATTAAAATCCTGTTTTATCAGTTGGTATTTTCAAATCATCATTTTTTTTTTACTGAAATTCACCCAATACAAGAAAAAATATGGCTCATTAGGCTGATTGTCCAATAGTTTTTGTATTCATTTACACCTGGTTTCTTATGCAGGTCTATGAAAATGGATCGACTTAGGTTTTCCAGTATATCACCACTGTCATTATATTTATTATGTCTGTAATTTTGTCAATGCCCAAATCATCTAAACCTGCCAGCATCCCTGTTACAATTACATCTGGTCCTGCTGCTTTGTTCTTGTTTAATTTGGCCAGTGCTGATTCCACTTCAGATTTTAATTTTTCTGGTCCTTTGATATTTCTGTCTATTGTAGGTTGTCCTCTTTCATCATGGTAGTATTCTCTGATGTATTTGATCCATCTTTGAAGTATTTTTTTCTTTCTTTATTATCAATGTCCTATCCAGGGAATTAATTTTCTAAAAATGTTCTTTCATAAGACCCATTTCTTTCTTCCTTAATTACACAATATTTTGAGCTCTCACAAATAGCATTTGCTTTGAATTAAAACCTCTTTATCGTTGGTTAATATCAGAACAAGGTCACCAACAAAAATATGATAATAAATGCTTCTTTATAAAAATGTTTGGACTTTCATCTGCAGTCAAAATCATTGCACTTTTATTTTTTTTTTACTTGAAATGTGATTGGTTCATTTTGCACTTTTTTTTATTTGAATTTTGATTGGTTCCTTTTATTTTCATGAAAAAATCTCAATTGTCAATCACATGAGCTAATTTTTCATTATTCTGTCAGTCTTATGAATAGCAAAACTTGTTTGCAAAAGTCATCAAATGATTATAATGACTCAATTCACAATTTTTAACAATATTTACACAATTATAAATGAAAAAAGAATCACTGTCTCCATTCTTGTTTCTCTATATATTTTTGTGAGCATTTCTTTGTTTTTTTTTCTGTTTTCATTTTCTGTTGCCTACAACCATTTTCAGATGACAATGAAAGAACTTTAGTTTTCACAAAACAGCTAAACACCACTATTTATCTTCAAATAAAAATGGAATTCAGCAATAAGTCTATGAATCAATTATTATTTGCTTATTGGTAACTGCTGAGAAGTCAAACCCCCAAAAGTAGCTACTACCAGATGGATATTTGCAGACTTTGGTATAATCCTGCCCATGTCTACTTTTTCGACTCAAGTCTAATCCAAACCTATGTCTACCTTTTTACTCTGATGTAAACCAGACCTATGCCTACATTTTTACTCTAGTATAAACCAGACCTATGCCTACATTTTTATTCTAGTGTAAACCAGACCTATGTCTACTTTTTTACTCTAGTGCAAACCGGATTTATGTCTACCTTTTTATTCTGGTGTAAACTGGACATATGTCTACTATATTGTAAACCGAACATGTCTTTCTTTTTAACCCTTGTATAAAACGAAACTATGTCTACTTTTTTTCTCTAGTGTAAGCTAGATCTATGCTAATCTTTTTACTATAGTGTAAACTGAACCAATGCCTATGTTTTTAACTTTAGTGTAAACCATAACTTTAATGTAAATCCCATAAGACTCATATCTGATAATTTAATGTTTTTTTAAACACAAAAAAATTGATGTCATTAAATTAACCCATCTAGACTGTTGGTAAATTTTATTTCTTTAATAAAAATGTTTTATTTTCAGCAGCTTTTTCAATTTTTTTTTTCTGTGACTGATTTGACTCTAATCTATAACAATATTTATAAGTTGCACAGCCTGATCTCTCCTGTTTAATAATGAAATATGCCATTGTTATAGTAATGGGAGTTTTACTTGATGCCAATAAGCAAACATGATTCCTGTCTTTGAGATTCAATTTCCTTGCCATGTTTTGAAAATATTTCATGGAAATGTTTTTGGGGAAAGAGATAATCTGTATTCTTTTTATTCTAACTTTTGAAAGATAAGTTTGATTATATTAAATAATATCTTTATTTTTGTTTCATTTCAACCTTTTCATTCTGGAATCAACAAAGTAGCTCATGCTGTTGTACAGTAAACTTCATATGAAAAAAAGACACATAGTAATATAAAAACAACTGTTGATGTTTGCACATTATAAATTATCTCATGTGACATGCATTCATTTTTGGTTATGTTCATTATCTCAATGTAAAATGTCACCTTTTTTCCTATGTTCATTATATTCCTAATTGCCTTTTCTAGCACCCTTAAAATACTTTTTGAAAACTGCTAGCTTTTCTCACCTCTTACTGGAGGAGATTGCAGGTCTGGGAACATATTCTTCTAAAGAGATTTTTTTTCTCCCCCTT